TTGGAGAGGGGTTTTATATATATATATATATATATATATATATATATATATATATATGGCTGCGTACTAAGTACATAAATGCCCTGGGTGCACAATTGACCACTTTGATATGGTGCCGAGCAATAGTGACCCTTGCAGGGTCATTTACAGCAGTGTTTTAGTGAAGGAACATTTCTTCGAAAACTTTAAACTTTGTGACCTATTACAGTCATGCACACCGTAAAACATATCGACTAACCCTCTGTACTGCGAAATCAAAGACAACGTAGCTGAAATTAGTTTGGTATAGCTCTTATAATCTATTCGTACAAAAGTACACGATATAGACGATGTTAGCTTTTGGGCTCAGATCAGCACCATCAAAGAACTCAAAAGGACTCATAACTTACTGATTAGTTGCTGCCTCAGTGGATCTAGTTGTATATATTTGCTTTGGATGATACCATCCACTATAAATAAGCAAAAGATATCCGCCTGTATCACGTGCCACCATGGCCACAATGTCTTAACATATCGGCATCACAATACTTAATTTTGTACGAGTTTGGCCAGCAAAAACATTTTGGTTCGATAACGGTATCACTCTCCTGATCCCAAATTACTCTAGCAGCTATGAGTGAATATGGTCTCTCATTCTGAAATTCTAATTGCTGTAATATGATCAAGTACTTTCCGTACTCGTTTACTCATATATTACAGTAATCGAACACATAGTGAAAAATGTAGTATGTGGTCTGGCAGAAGAAGCACGTGTGGAAAACTGTTTGCAAACTGACATAGCTAAGATATCATTATCTAATACAATTACCCGATTGAGAGTCTAGCCGCAGAAAAGATCCAGTGATTTATCTATAGACAACTGTGATAAGAAGCTTAGGAAACTATTAGTGAACTTTCTCATTCAAAACGCAGCACATGTCCGATAGCAACAACGTGCTTTTTACTTATGCACATTCGCTCGCAGTCATTTATCAGATCACAAAGATCATTGCCTCCTGAGAGAGAAACTGTGATCCTCTTCAAGTAGCTGGTTTCGTAATTTAAAATGTCAGGAAACCTATTACTTCACAGTTGCCTCTTCATGGCTTTTTGTTTTTTGTCTTACCATTATATTGACACAACCTCTTATCCTCAGCGCATTTATTGTTCGAATAAGACGCAAAAATTCCCTTTTGTCTGTAATTTTAACGCATCAAGGAGTGTCAGTCACATATGTGATTTCAAAGATATCTGGAAGAACCAGCATTAAGTGTAAGTACATACCAGCTCTCAAGAGATCTTTAATAAGTGTATTGTGGACCATTTTAAATGTTTGCTTTGTGATGCTTGAAAATACATCAAATATTCACCATGCTTACGGATATAAATGAACCGGCCAACACGTGCGTTTTGGATTCTGCTGATGGTAAAGGTCGTCTATTGCTCTGTTATCTA